CCTCTGAACACCAACCAAGTGCTGACTGAAAAGCATGTAACAGTAAATATAAGAAAAATCATCGGATGTTTAACTTTGCAGCAGTCCTCCAACTAATTATGGCTGACTTTTGATTTTCGTTGAGATAAAAACGACCAAATCGAGGCTAAAAATCTGCATATTTTATCAAAAATCACTTTATTTCACATACCTCTGTCAAAAAATAGCCAAAAATTAAATACTTGGAACAACCAGATTCAATTAAAAAAAACAAAAAAACAAACTAAAAATCTTCTTGATGCAACTGTGAATTCATTTCCACTCAGCTGCAACTAAAAGACGAAAATTCAGGGACTTTTCAGCTGAACTGCAGACAGTGTTGGAGGTGTGTGGAAACAAACAACAAATGTAAATAGTAAAATATCTGTAGCATGTAGAGCCACCGTTTGTGTTTCCAGAATTATTAACACCTGTAGAAACGTGGAAATTCATGAAAAATCATGTTGAGTCCACTGATGTTTAACCTTCTGAACCCATTCATCTTAGAAAAAAACGGCAAAATTACCACATTTATCAGCCACAAACTGACTAAAATCACAAAGAACTGTAGGATTTCCAACTTTCCAAAAGTCCTTGAATCTATCATGTATGTCTTTTGATTTTGCCATAAACTTTAAAAAAAAAAAAAAAAAAAATCACCAAAAATAGTTTGAATCAGATCCCGTAAAAAACAAAAAATTCTGCGTCCTTCACTGCAACTGTGAACTCATCAGTTGCTCAGCTGCAACCAAAAGTCATGCAACAAAAAATCAGCGACTTTTCAGCTGAACTGCAGGCAGTGTTCACACGGAACAGAGGAAAATGAAACCTACTGGATCAATAAAATAAATGCAGGTGGAACATCTTTCTACAGCTGATGTGCAGAATAGAGAAAATGGATGTAGAGAGGCAACATGTTGTTTCCCAGCAATTCTTGTTCTTTTTTGGAAAATAAACAACCATCCATCCATCCATTATCTATACACCGCTTAATCCTCATTAGGGTCGCGGGGGGGCTGGAGTCTATCCCAGCCGACTTAGGGCGAAGGCAGGGGACACCCTGGACAGGTCGCCAGTACATCACAGGGCCACACTTAGAGACAGACNCGGGCAGCAACGTTACAAAGGAGACCACGCAGATAAACACAGATCAACAAAAGCTTCAACCCTCTGAACACCAACCAAGTGCTGACTGAAAAGCACGTTTAAAAAATAAACAAGAAACAGCAAATATAAGAAAAATCATCAGATATGTAACTTTGCAGCAGTCCTCCAACTCATCATGTCTGACTTTTGATTTTCGTTGAGGCTAAAAATCTGCATATTTCATCAAAAATCACTTTATTTTACATATTTCTGTCAAAAAATAGCCAAAAATTAAATACTTGGAACAACCAGATTCAATAATAAAACAAAATTAAAAATCTTCTTGATGCAACTGTGAATTCATTTCCACTCAGCTGCAACTAAAAGACGAAAATTCAGGGACTTTTCAGCTGAACTGCAGGCAGTGTGTGGAAACAAATAAAAAATATAAGTAGTAAAAATATCTGTAGCATGTAGAGCCACCGTTTGTGTTTCCAGAATTATTAACACCAGCAGAAACGTGGAAAAATGTTCATCATGTTGATTCCACTGATGTTTAACCCTCTGAACCCATTCATCTTAAAACAAATGGCAGTTGCCACATTTATCAGCCAGAGACGGACTAAAATCACAAAGAATTGTCGGATTTCCAACTTTACAAAAGTCCTTGAATCTATCATGTATGTCTTTTGATTTTGCCATAAAAAAAAAATAAATTAAAGCTCAAAATCAGCAAATTTACTTTATTGCACTTTAAAAAAACAAAAATCACCAAAAATAAATATTTTGCTTGAGTCAGATCCTGTAAAAAACAAAAAATTCTGCGTACTTCACTGCAACTGTGAACTCATCAGTTGCTCAGCTGCAACCAAAAGTCATGCAACAAAAAATCAGTGACTTTTCAGCTGAACTGCAGGCAGTGTTCACTCAGAACAGATGAAACCTACTGGATCAATAAAATAAATGCAGGTGGAACATCTTTCTACAACATGTTGTTTCCCAGCACATATTAATTGTTGTTTTTTTGTAAAATGAACAACCAAAGGATTAATTTTTTGTGATTAACTGCACAGAGGACATGTCTAGTTCTCTCTGCTACTAGTCACAGTTGTTCTGTTTTCATAGAGCTGCAGGACTTAATGCTGCAGTAAAAAGGTGACAGTAATACATGCATTAATAAGTCATTTAAATCGGTTACGTACGGGCTGACGCTCTTGGGCAGCTGGAAGCCCTGAGCCAGCGTCTGGGGGTTGAGCGGCGGCGGCTGAGGCCTCAGAGCGGGAAGCGACGGCTGGGGAGGGTTCTGCGCCGGGGACTGGATGACGCCGTTCAGGCCGCCCAGCACGCCGTTCATGGCCAGCTGAGGACTTCCTGCCAGCGACGCCATGAGGCCGCCCACCACGGGCAGCGAGGAGCCGCCGGCCGGGCCCATGCCGCCCAGGCCGTCGCTCAGGCCTCGACTCAGGCCGTTGAGCAGCGGCTGGCCGAAGGAGGCGGGACTCTGCTGGGGGGGAGGCGTGCTCTGGAAGGACAGCGAGGAGCTGCTGCGGGACGGACTGCCGGAGTGGAGCTCCTGGAGGAGACACAGCAGAAGGGTTCTCCAATCCATAAATCCAAAAAGTATCTGATACATCAATGTAAATGTTCATAAACACCATTTTAAACAGCCATAGTCTACGAATCAGGGCCGGTGGAGCAGAAGGAGCCTGATGACGCAACAAGCCTCTTTGTTTGTTTGTGTGGTGCGTTCAAGGTCAGACAGGATCTCCGGTTTCTCACCTCAGACGAGGTAACGAAGGAGGTGTCATTCAGGAAGCAGCTTTTGGACAGGGGGCTCTTGTTGGTGCTCAGGGGGTCTGAGGAAACCAGAAAATCGCAGGATGAGAACGACAAAGTCCAAGGCTGCATCCACGTGAAGCCGTTTGCACTTTAAAACGCACAATTTCTGCTGCGTTTACGTCGAAGAATCCACACCACTCCGACGCTTTAGGACCCTATAACTTTATGAAACACTAAAGACCCCGTTTCAGTTTGAAACGTCGGGTTGTCGCATTTATCAGAGACTTAGAAACTGAAATAATAAAGAATTCTTTTTAATTCAATTGTCCTTAATTTAAACAAGTATTTCTCATTTAAAAACTTGCCAAAAATGAACCGTTAGCAGCAATAAAAATCTGGAAAAAACAAAAAATTCTGCGCTCCTTAAATGAACCATGAAGTGTTCAGTGACTCGGTTGCGACCAACAGTCATGCAAAAAAAATTCAGGGACTTTTACATGAGAAAACAAAGATCTGTTGTATGTGGAGTCAGCGTTTTATTTGCCAGTATTAGAAACACTTGGAAAAATGCTGTAGACGTCGATTCTAAGTTTTTATCAAGTTTTGTGAAATAAATAATGACAGAAATTTAAGTTTTGAATGAAAAATGAGCCCACAGTGACCAAAAACAGCAGCAAAACACTAAATTAACCTTTTTTTTGTTAGCAGAAAAAAACAAAAAAACAAAAAAACAAAAACAGGATTAAACCAGACTATTGTCAGAGTTTTCAAACTAAAACTGAGTCAGAAATGTTTCCAAAAGTCCTTGTTTGCGGTCCTGAGATGCTACTGGAACAGTGCGGATGCTCAACGTGGCAGAAGCATTTTCAAAACATGTTCACGTGGACGCAGCCTGAAGTTTGTCAGTGAATGCAGCTTTTCACATCAGTACATCGTCATAGTTTCTGAAGGAGGCGAGGGAGTGGACTGCACGACGCCGTAAGACGAGTGAGTCCTGGTGGATGTGAAAGAGGACGGAGGAGTTGGAGGCTCTGACCTTGGCTGGACGACAGGAAGTTGATCTGGGCGGACGTGTGCATGGATCCCTGGGCGGAGAGCGCGTGGGGAGGGAAAGGCACGGCCAGCTCCGTGTTGAGCAGCTGCAGACGCTCCTTCTTGGCCGTCAGACTGAGGATCTGGTCCTGGAGGCGCTGGTTCTCCTGCTGCAGCGAGTGAAGCGACTGGAGCATCTCCACGACTGGCGGGAGCACAGAGACGAGAGTTAGCGTCAGTAAGCTGCTAAACTGACTGGACGGGTATGCTAAATGCTAATAGCTAATCATTTAAGTTGGTTGCATTTGGACAAACTATATGTCACTGTATAAAGCAGCACAGTATAAATAATAAAGTGTTAAGTTAAACTGGGAATCCAACATAATTAAAGTAATTAAAAATGAGACCTTAATATGTCAGTGATACTGAAGAAATCATCAATTAAACCTCGTTACAAAAGTGAAAACACGGACACATTTTTACAAACACCGAGCTGACAGAGCAGTTCTTCCTTTCTAATAATGGCGTAACAGTTCTCTGAGCTTCGAATTGTGCGTAAATATTGTTTTTAAATCGTGTTTGTTGATGGCGTTGCAGTTGTTCGATCGGGAGTTTAGCTGTAGAGCATCAACACTTCGTCCTGATGAGTCTTTGTTGTGTTTTCTGATAATAGAAGCAGAAAAAATACACAATAAACGGCTTTGTTGTGAGTTCAGCTGCATTAAAGGGAAGTCTGCATGAGCACAGGGAGCAGGAGAGAAGCTAACAGATGTAAAGCGCCTCCTGTGTGCTTCACTTTGGTCGCTGCTCTGGTCGGAAACTCTGCTCAGTTTACAAACCACATTTTGAGATAATTTGAGCTCCTCCGAGACTTCTGAAACTTTTACGCTGAACCGAGCTGCACTTTTGGACGATCAGACAGTGATACTGAAGGAAACAGTTCGTTATAATGAACTGAAGTAAATAATGCTTTGGTTAAAAACAATGATGTCGATGATGCCAACTAATGCTCACTATACACAGTCTGACAGTATAACAGCTGTTTTTAAAGGTAGGAATCAAAAACTTTTCTCTCAGACTGCAGGTTTACTTGTGGTTCGCAGTTTCCAGATGTAGAATCGGAGGCAGATCCTTCACTTATCAGGCTGCTCTGTTGTGAAACCAGCTCCCAGTTTGGATTCATTAAAATCAAAACTTTCCTTTTTGATAATGTTTATAACTTCAGTGATCCTAAATCATCCCACAGGTTCATTCTGTCTGGAGAGATCCTGAAGTTTGTCCTCTTTAAGAGCTTTTTCACCGACAGTCTTCTTCCGAACAAACTTTCAGGAATTTCGACCGAATCCGTTTGTTTGGAACCTGCAATATTTTTGGAAGTTGAATCGGAACAAGAACCCCAGTGGAAACAAACAAGCAAAACAGACAGGAAACGTGTTTCCTGGTCATCTGAAGAAACCTCAGCTTTTACCGTCGCTGTGGACATCTGCTGAATTTCAGCAGAAGTTCAAAGGCTCGACTTGAAAAGCAAATTGCTGCAGTTGCAACGTGTTGTTTGGCTGCAGGGCGTCTGGTTCTGAACCGGTGTGCAAACAAAAACCAAATGTTGGTCGTCTCTGCCCGGACCTTTCTGCAGGTATCTCTGGTGGTTTATGTTTCTGACCTGCGGTTACAGACCTTCATCAACCTGCTCGCTGTTTATGTTCTGCTGTTTTTAACGCTCGCTGCTCTGCTGCAGCCTCAACCGGTCGTAATCGTCCCAGAGTCTGGTTTTGTTTGAGGTTTAATCTTGTTAAAGGAGAGTTTTTCCTTCAAACAATCGCCTGAATTCAGTCAAATTAAACCTGACATTGCTGGAAGTTGCTGATTTTATACGATTATTGTGATTTACTGAAGAATGGAGCTTACAATATGAGAAGCATAAAGAGTAGAAACAAATGATTTCTATTTCCGACTATTCTTTAGGTCACTTTTAATTCAATCACTGAAGGGCTTATTACTGTAAAACATGCTGTATAACTTGACGTATACACACACTTTATTGTATGTATCAGGACAAATAAGTTACGGTGAACAACCACCAACGTGAGCAGGGAATACCTCTGACTAAAGCAACGGCAGTAACCTGCACTGAGCTTTCTTTTAGTCCACTTGAAAAGGTCCTGCACCCCCACACAGGTGTTTTCAATTACTCTGGCTGTTGGGCCCCTGCTCGGGTTGAAGCTGGGCAGAGTTATGCTGGAAAATATAAGAGGTCACAAAACTCAGGCTGTGTCCTGAACCACTCCACATGTGCTGCCTTCTGCACTCAACTCCAAGCTTCTTTATACGTTATTACCTTTTTTTTTCAGCCCCGAACATCCCACAATGCAAAGCTTTGTGTTTGATGGACAACCTGCTAGTTTACTGTTCACTAGTAATGAATCTGTACCGAACAATCGGAAATAAAAAGCTCAAAGGCTGCATTGGGAGTCTAACGTGGTTCAATGCAGTGGGATTTTTTTCATCCGACATATTTCTACCTGTCCTGAGCTGCTTATCTCTGAAAGAAACCTTTCTAATCTATTTGAGTGCAGGAGGCGCCTATAAAAAGCAAAACTGTAAATTGTCCCTGTCGGCTCCCTGTGCAGCGACACTCTGCTCCCAGCGCTCCTGCAGCACTTGTAACTCTCTCTGGAAGTTCTGACCACTTGAAGGTGCACATTTCACCACGGATCTGTGTCAAACTAACCAAAACCTCCATGTGGAGGATCATCACGGACCCAGAGACTGAACAGCAGCTGTCAGCGGAAGATCCTAAAAACTACAAGACAGAAGAAGGCGATGATGTCGGCAGCATGCTCGTCGTTTTGTTTGACATTCGCGGAGTCGTGCGACGTGAATTTCTCCTCTATGGTTGGACGTTTGATGTTTAGCTCCTCTCTTAACATCCCGAGAGAAAACATTCGACATAAACAACTCATCGCCCTCCATCCATGAGATCCGGCGTCCTGCAACTTCCTCCTCTTCCCCAAAATGAAATTCAAGATGACGAGGTTTGACACAGAGAAGGAAATCCAGCTGCAGTTGGTGCTTGAACACAGTAGGACTTCCAGGGAGCGCTGCAGGAGCGCTGGGAGCAGAGTACTGCTGCACGAGGAGACGACTTCGAAAGGGATGGTGAGCAGGTTTAAAATCAGAGATGATTTTTGCTTTCCACAGGCGCAGACTAGGACCTTGTTGGCCGCAACTTCTAATTAATCATCACTGGAGGAAAAAGGGGCGCTCAGACGACCGGAGAAAGAAGTTCTAACCTGTTTAACCCTCCTATTATCTTCAATTTATTCATCCTTGGGTTCAATTTGCCCCCAGCAATTTAAACCTGAACACTGAACGGAGTCAAAAGATAACAGGAAGGTTGAGTCTATGAGGTGCAGCAATGCCCAGCTCCCAGTGCTCCAGCAGCCCTCTCTGGAGGTCCAGTTCAGGGCACTTGCAGGTAGAAAAGCTTCTCCTTGCCGTTAGCGAGCTCTTAGCGAGTGCTTTTCTTTTTTTGAATCCAAACATTAACAACTGCAACAAACACTTGAGCAACTCGTCAACGACAACCCGAAGTATCTGGACATGCTTTTACAGCTCTGTCGCTTAAACGTAATAGAAGAAGTTCAACATTGTTTGATAAGGTTCTGACACTAACTGGTGATCCTTGAGGTCCACTTGACCCGGTTTCTCTATCAAGTGTTTCTCTGCTGCAGCAACAGTCTGCCAGTCGGGAATCCAATCCCTTCTTCCAAATGCGTTCTAACCGATTTTCTATGGAGCTGTCGACGCGACGTGCTCGGCATCGAACAAACACGCTCCTCTGTCTCGCCTCGGCAGCGAACGCTGGCTGGGCCGGAGCGAAACAGAGCGCAGATAAATGTGTTTAAGATGAAGACTGTGGAGGTATTTCCTCTGGAGAGGACGGACGAGTGCAGCTAAGAGCCACGAGAGCTGGGACAGAAAGAAGATTTTAGGAGAGTAAAAGTAAGATGACTTCAACAAACAAAAGTGAAAATCGTGACAGCCCTGGGTGTGTTTAAAGACAGATTAGAAACCAGTGTCAACTAACGATGTCCCCAGAGAACAAGACATTAAAACAACACGAGAAACAAAGCTGCCTGAGTCGTTATCTGTCGCTGTGCTATTTTTTGTCCTGAGGTACATTCATCATCTCTAAATAGAACCGAAGACAGAGCAGCAGGTAAACTGGATCCTGTGTGCTGCAGCAGCAGTTTGGGCTTAAAATAAAGAAACTTGTAACCTATTCATCAAAGCTGTGAAGGATTTGAAGAGGCCTGATTGTAGTTTCCAAGAAAAAAAAAGAGCAAGAAAGGCACCCTGGATACTGGGTGATAGTCATTTTCAGGGCTGGTCGGTCGTTCTGCTCCCATCTGACCAACATCTCAGCGGTCGGACAATCTGTGGCGCTACTTTCATAAAGAGGAAAGCTCTACGTCGACAGTCTTACAGGATTTATCCATTATTTTTGGTGGAATCAAGAACAGACTTCCTGTAGAAACCCTTGCTTGAACTCTCCCGATCTAATAGAGGTTTAACGTTTTAACATGTCGTGAGTAGTTTTATCTTCAAATCTTCTATTCAGATGATTAACCCTCTGAACTCCAAGCAGTTTCTGGTTGTTTTCTTTGCTCCTGTCACATTTATATATGAAGTCCTGCACCTCTACGGAAACAGAACAACCACAACTAGAAGCAGTAAGAGCTCTTCTGTGCAGAACGACACACTTATGACGCCATAAAAAAGACAAAACAAAAGCTTATTGTTGCTGTGCATTGCTTTCTTCTACAAAAAAGAAAAAAACTACTTCGAATCAACATGTAAGACATTTTTCGTGTGGCCATAGGTAGAAAAAAAAAGTGAGAAGTTGATGATTTACTTTTAAAATTAGTTCCCATATTTGTCTCCTACGCTGCCTGCAGTTCAGCCGAAAAGTCCCAGTGTGCAGAATTTTTAGTTTTTTACACAATCTTGTGAGAGCAAACGGGTTATTTTTAGTGAATTTCTAACTGATATGTGTAGAATAAACAGATTTTGACGAAATATTGCGATTTTAAGCTTCGTTTTGGTTCTGAATTTTTTATTTTTTTTTACAGGCAAGTTCAAGGACTGTGCTTGAACTTTTGTCTCATGACTGTCTGAGGCCGTCATGACGTCTCAGTTGCACCAAGCAGCACAGAATTTTATGCTTTTCACAGAATCTGGTTCATGCAACTGGTATATTTTTGGCAGATTTTTAAAGAAGACACGTAGAATAAAGCAATTTTCTTTCTGTTTCTACACTTTCTTGCTTGGATAAATTAGATAATTTGGGCTTTTTTTTATTCAAAGATAACGCGCCCGTCAGATCTGCCAGCAGGTTTTGGGGTTCAGAGGGTTAATATGCTGCTAATACTTGCTTTTTATTTGTATTCCTAATTAATTTAAGCTAATGAGGCAGCTCGGCGCATCGTGGCCCGTTTAGCTCATCAGATAACGTGCATAAAAAGGCAACGATTCCAGTCACCAAGAGGTTCTTCAGTCCACTACAGCTCCATAAATGTGATCCTGTGGCTCTGCTTTATGTTCGTAAACCTCTGTTGTGTCGTTTGTTCCACTCACTGTTGACTCCCATCTCCCCGTTGCCGTGCTTCTCCAGCAGCAGCTCGATGTGGGAGCTGGCCGGGGGGACGTTCTCCGGCCGGGCTCGGACTCCGGCGCCGAGTCCGTCTCTCTGGTCGAACAGGAGGGGAAGACAGCTCATCGGAGACCTGGGCGAGGGAGAAGAGGAGGAGGAGGACAAAACCAGCGTGAAGCAGCAAGACGTCACCGATGGGAAAATACCAGCAGCTCGCTCTGGCTGTGGTGAGTCGCTCTGGTTGCCAGTTGCTGGAAACGAAACCGACTTGACCACAGCCACGACGGCTCGTTCAGGTTTCGTTAGACGGATGAAAGATAGCGAGACTGTGTCATAACTGAAACTTGCTCACTCATCTTCAGCCGCAGAGGCAGCGCAGCGAAATCACGCAGGAATTTACGTAAAAAATAACCAACAGAGAAAGACTTACTGCGAGGAAAGACTCTCTCTCGGCGAGTTCCCCTGACACGGGAAGCGACAGTCATCGAGGTCGGACTCTGAGAAGAAACACAAGCGGTCGTGAAGTTCACCTGCACACAAGTTGTGCAATATCGGAAAATCTGACGTCAGACTCGGAGGACGTTTGTGTCAGAAGAAGCTCCACCGTGGAAGTTTTTTTCTCACCTGGCAGTGAGGTCTGGGCTTGGCTCAGTAGTGGCGGCAGTGTCGGGGCTGTGGACAGACAGCTGGCGAAGGGCTGAGAGGAGGTCAGGCTGTAGGAGGCGCTGGAACCTGGATGGACCTACGAACACAGCGAGCGTCAACGTGTGGCCAGCGAAGAAAACATCTGGACAAAGCGGGTGCAAAAGTGCTGCTCTGGATGCGTTTAATGGTGTTCAAACCCGAGAATAAAGCAGGTTTTAGTATCGGTGCATTTAGCTTTTAACATCCTCATTCATCATAATTTGCCAAACCCAAGATAGACACAGAAGTCCAGTTTTTCTGATTGTGCCACGTCGACAGTTTTGCTCCAATCTGACCAAATTCTCGTTAGTTTGACAATCTCTGGTGTATTTTCATCATGAAAAATGCTCAACTATCCATGAGTAATCCATTATTTTTGGCAGCAAAAGGAACAAACTACCTGTTTTTTCACAACTTTGACTGAGATTGAGACTTATTTAATGTTTACCGAATGTTTGCTCAGACTTCGCTCCAAAAAACGTCACATAAGTGCTGCATTTTGTTCCAAAAAGTCAAGAATAAACTTTGCAAACAGCAGCTTGTGTATCACAACTCAACATGTGAGATCATCTAAAAGCAGCAGCTCACTCGTCTGTGTTTTATTTCTCATCAACAGTTGATATATTTTCAGAAATCAGATGATATGCTGCGAATATTAGCCGTTTATGCTATTATTTATGAATTCATTTATGCTAATCAGGCTGCAGGTGGAACTTGTAGCTCATCTGCAGATGATTCCAGAAGATTTTCTTCACTTGACTCCACCCAGAGTTAAAAACAAAACGCTGACTCTTAGTTTGAAACGAGATCTGTGTTTTACTGACTCATCCATCAACCCCAACCTCCTCCCTGTGCAGACTCTAAAACTACAGCATGATTGCATTCGTTCCCGTGGAAACAACGTGGTTTCTGTGACTACTGCTGCAGCTTTCTGACGCATTTATCCTCAGAAATCATGTGAATATGTGCAGCCGCTCTGCTCCCAGCCTGTTCTCGTAATTTCAGTATAAAACAAGCAGCTTCAAATAAGTTAATATGCTGCTAATACTAGATCGTCATGTCCATTCTGAATGTGTTTAGGCTCATAAAGGTAGCAGATAAAGTATACTAGTTTAATCTACCGAAAACATGCAGGATTTCTCGCCCTGCAGCCAATCAGTGGGTAAAATACCAACATATCTTTGGTTCACTTTTTGCCTATTATTGATTAACCTGCTCGTCGTTTTCTTGGGTTTTTTCTGTGAGGAAAGAAGATCCAGCAGTCGGCTTTCTTCACAGCAGACCATTCGTTTGACTTGTCACAACAAGGAACGTACTGGTGGAATTAATGACTAATCGCTAAACCATGAAGGTGAACCGGGAGGCACAAAAACAGAACCTCCTCGAGTGCAAGTGGAATGCAGCCTTCATTAACTAACACACCGGCGCTGTGACGAGCTGGGAAGCAGGTCTGTTGTGATTTCCCTGAGAAAGGACAACAAGCAGCCTGGACACCAGATACGATAAATTAAGCCGACTGTCAAATACGACAAACCTGCAGATCCTGACATTTCTGCTTTACACTTACAGCACAACAGCAAGCTTTGAACTTTTAACACCCAGAACTGAGCAACCATCAGTGGAGAAAATTAGGAAATCTCTTCTGTGCAATGCAAAATAATAAGAACCCATCTAAAGGTTCCTTGAATTTTTGCCACGTGACTTTTGGTCACAGCTGAGTCTCTGATGGTTTCATTGTTGCACCATCATGTGCAGAATTCTTTGTTTTTTACCGAATCTTGTTTGAACAAACGGTTGATTTTTAGTGATTTTTTACTTGATATATGTAGAATAAAATGAATTTTTTAATTTTTTAATTTTAAGCTAAGATTTGGTTGTTTTTTCACAAATGAGTAATTCGAGGAGATTTTTTTCTTTCACAGTGCAAATGGTTTATTTTTTGGCAAATTCTAAACTCCCACCCTGGAGTGTTAATGGTGGATATAAGAGGACAGCTTTTCCTTTTGGACTTTTAAAAAAAAAAAAGCTTCAGATTTAGGCTGCAAATCAAAGTCAAAGCACCGACCGAGGGTAGAAAAAAAAAAAAAATCTAACTAATATGCGGATAAATTATTGTAAAAAATACGCGTAGAAAGATGAAAACGTAACGTAGCTTATAACACTTGTGATTGGTCAGAGGCCGTAGTGACTGTGTTGTCACGTAGCCTGACTGTCATTGATTGGTCGGATAAAGTCACATGATTCTGCCTTTTTTCCCCCAGGAAGTTACCATATATGGTTCCTTGCCCGATTAAGGGTTAAAATGAGACGTGTAGAATAAAGGGATTTTCGCGAAATATCCCAATTTTAAGCTTCGATTTTTCCAGACGAAACCGAAAGACGAACACAATAAGTTCGAGGATAGTTGAAAATTGAAAATCCGACAATTTTTCTTGTTTTTACAGTTTCCAACTTTGATAAAAGCTGCATTTCTTTTTTAAAATCATATAAACTACAAAGCTGTGAGCGAGTTTCGGGGGTTCAGAGGGGTTAAACAAATGTTTTCCAGCAGATACAACCCTGACACACTCGACACCGCTTCAACGCTCCCTCGCTCTGAACTACCTGCGTGTTGGAGACGGCGTTGATTGAGGGAAGCGACAGCGAGGAGACGTGGGATGGAAGGAGTCCTGAGGAGAGCGGGGTGCTACACATGCCCCCTCCCAGGGACAAGGAGGTGCTGCAGACGCCTCCGCCCAGAGACAGGGGCGTGCTGCAGACACCCCCGCCCAGCGTGAGAGGGTCCTTGAGGCTGGAGTAGATACCTGAGACCGAAAGGAGAAAAGAAACCCAGTCAGGCACAAGTTGCAAGGCTCCAAAAAACACATGTGGCACCCGAGGGTTTGCGTACACGAGAGAGTCGAGTAAAAAGTAGGGCAGGAAATCTACTCTGTGCGTAAAAAAACCCACTATCTAGGACAAAATCTCTGCCTCACGAAGAATCGTAAACACTCAGAGACAGAGCTGCAAAATATCCTCGATTTTAAACTACCTACTAACTTCTGCATTGTCAGGTTTTTGTTGTTGTTGATGTTGATGTGATCTCAAAGACGGGACTTCTAATATATTTAATATTTCATCTTCTCCATAATCAGAGACTCTGTGATCTACTTGTCCAGGGTTATGGAGATTCTGGATCAATGTCATGATGAGAAAAATCAGTGATAAAGGTTCAGGTTTAAATGAATAAATCAAGTTTAAATGTGTGAAAAAAAAACCTGCTGAAAGTGGGTTAAATTAACTAAAAAATTATATGTAAATAGCATAAAATATGGATAGTTATAAAGACATTACAAACATTTTAGTTTGATATATTGCATACTTTTAAATTAAAAAAAAAAAGTCTCTCTAGTATTCAATATATATCAATATAGAATTTCAGAAATATCAACATAAATATTTATATTTTATGCTGTAAAAATATCAGACAAATTAGAAAACAAATCTTGACCCATAAATAAAATAAATAATAATAATAATAATAAAAATAATATAAAATTTAAAATATAAAATAAATAGCATTCTCGTAATATAATATTCAAAGACACCAGATGTATTTATATTATCAAATAAAAACAATGTGTAAATCTTGAAAACATTTCATAAATCAAGCTTTTAAAGCATATTTTACTGCATAAAAATTGATTGTGGAGCAGAAACTGGCTCTAAAAATGTTCTGATTTGAGATGAAATGATCCTAAACAAAGGAAAAATAATGTTTGTCTTTTTTATTCTTGCCTTTATCATTGATTTTAAGAAGCTTGTTGCTAAATCGCAAATTTCAGCGCATGAAAAAATTGTGCTAAAAATGAGTCGATGGACATTTTTTTAAAAAGTATCTGATAATATCAAATATATCAAGCTAAAAATTCATAAATATTTTTATAAATATCCATATTTTATGTGATAAAGTTGAAAATAAATTGTAATTTTTTAAATTTCTATGATTTATTATCAATTACAGTTTAAGTTGAGTTTGATTTTTTACTTTTTTCTCCTTAAAAAGTGGCTCAAATTTAATTATAAAAACAGGTGATTGCTTTAAAAGTCGGCAACTATTCAACAAATCGTTGCAGCTCTGTTTGGAACCAGTGAGATGTTTTGTGTGTTCAGTTTAGCTTTTTTAATTACTGGCCTTGAAAGAACGCTATCTGCCTCTCACGGGGTAAATAAACACTCAAGAGACAGAAAACGTTGTGGATTTTGAAGGCGGTGCCATTAAACAGCGCCTAGGTTCGTCCTGCTTCTCTTCTGCTGCACTCTGACGCTCAGATAAGCCGCCGAGTGTCATGGAAACATTTCAACACTTCACACTGATAATGATGCAGTTTGTTTCCCACCACACAAACGCACACAGGAAGCTCGAGGGCTACCACACACTCCTCCTCGCTCAGACTCACCGGAGCCGAGCAGCGAGTTTCCGCGGCTCGTCGAAAAACTGCCAGCAGAGGAGGAGGAGAAGGAAGAGGAAGAGGAGGAGGTGGTGGCGGCGGCGGCGGGCGGCAACGAGGAGGGGAAGGCGGGGTGGGGGATGGAGGAGGGGCTTGGGTACAGCGAGGAGGTCAAAGATGGCGGCGGAGGCGGCGGTGGAGGAGGAGGAGGAGGGGGAGGAGGCGGCGCCGAGGCGTGGTGGTGGTGGTGGTGATGCTCCTCGTCCCTCCTCTCGCGGTTCTTGCTCCCGCGAGGACGCCCCGGGCCGTGGCGGCTCTTCTTGTTGCCGCGGTGACGCCTCTCCCGGGGCAGCGGCGGGGGCGTGGCCTTGTCCTCCAGGTCCGCCTCCTCCAGGATGGGCGGCGTGCTCAGCTGCTTGCACAGCGACTTGGAGGGCTTGTAGTCGCCCGACGACGAGATCTTGCGGATCTTGCTGCTGCTGCCGAGGCCCGACGACGACGTGATGCGCATGATGGAGCCGAACGTGGAGATGGTCACCTTGTTCTCGAAGGGGCTGGAGTTGCCGTCGGACCGGTCGTGGCTCTGCGGCGCCGCCAGCGGCCCGTCGGCGGGCGTCAACGCCGGCGGTTTGTGGTATTTACAGTCCTCCTCCTCCTCTTCTTCCTCCTCCTCCTCCTCTTCGTCTTTGTCCTCCTCCTTCTCGTCCTCCTCCTCCTCGTCCTCGTGCACCGCCGGCCTCCGGTGGCGCTCCTTGCGGTCCTCCCCGCTGTGGTGGTCGCCGCCGCCACCGTCGCCGCGGTCGTGGTCGCGCTCCAGGCGGGAAGAAGACGAGAACTGATGGAAATCCTGAGTGGAGGACAGCGAGCCGCCTGCAGGACAAACAGAAAGCTGCAGTCTGGAGATCGAACAACACGTTTGTTCTTAGGGCCGATATCGATGCCGATTATCGGTCGTCAAGACCAATAGCTGGAACGCTTAACGAGAATGTAGCAGCAGAGAACCTGTCAGTCATCACTAGCTTCTTCATTCATAACGGTGCATATGATGAAGTGAAATAACAGTGATTCAATTATGTCCGTGAGATTTTCTTAATATGCTCACTGATCTTAATATCAATTGTTTTCCAGACTGTTTCAGGTTAGTCTGCCTTCTAACTTAGCCGTTAGCTTAGCCTTAGCCACTGTGAGTTAAGCTAACTTCCTGGTTTGTGGTGTTTCTTGTTTGGTTTCTACAGTTTCTGCTCTGGAGACCTTTCTCAGACCACAGACAGAGAGGAGGCTAGAATAAAAATAGGGACAAAATACCAAATATCGGCCACAATAATTGGTTGATTAGTCAAGCATGTGAGGATCAGACTCGGGGCTTCACCCTTCATACCTGGGTTGAAGGGGCTGGAGGAGCAGGAGGACGAGGAGCAGCTCTTCCCGGTGCTTCCTGGCTTCTTGCTGCGATGGCCGTGACTGTGCGAGCTCAGCTTTTTGGACTTTCCCTCGCCGTCTTTGCTGCTGCCGTGGTGACTGGAGGAGATCTGCGCCGGCAAAAACCCAAAACCAACATGACCAACCGTGACATTACTCGGCAAAAAAAACCATCGCCTTCGGTACAGCGGCTGACGTGTCGCGGCGTCGGTAATTTTAACTTCCATCCTGCAGCCGCCAACATGTGCTGAGTCATGCTGTGGTTTGGATGTTTTTTTTTTTACCTTTTCTATGCTGCTTGACGTCACCGAGGAGCCCAGGCTGTCGGTAGACTTCTTGTGCCGCTCTTTTTGCCGGATTTTGTCCTTATGGCTCTGAAAGCAGGACCAGGAGTTAAATAGTCAATGTGTGCACACATAATGACATAACTGCTGGGTATCATTTGAAATATTTTAACACTGCTGCCAATTTTGCTGTTTTGGGGACCGAAAGGCAAAACAGCATTTCGGCACCTAAAACCACTGACCCACAAAAGCCACCCACAGGTTTGAAATGGTGTCAAAATTACACCATTTATCAGAGAATTAGGCTGTAAAAGGAATAAAGAATTGTCAGGTTTCCATCTGTCCCACAGTCCATGAACTATTCATTTGTGATGCTGACTTTTTGTTGGGAAAACCCCCCAAAACTGAGCTTTAAATCAACATGTCATCAAAATCGTATTCTTCAACGAGGCTCAATTAAAAATTCACCAAAAATACACCATTTGCGATAACCAGATTCTGTAAAAAGCTAAAAATTTTGCTCCCCTTGAGGCAACTGTGAAGCTATGAGTGACTCACCTGTGACCATCAATCACGTGACAAAAATTCTAGTATTTTTTTTTTTTGCATAACTAGGATGAACTGCAGGCTGTGTTTACACCGAGCAGGCAGGAGACGAGGATGTAAACAGTTTAAATGTAAGTAGGAAAACAATAATAGCATGGTTTTGTTTTCCAGTATTGCTGTTGGGAAAAAAAAATGTACAGGATTTTATAGAATTAATAATTTAAGAAATTCAGCTTTTTAGAAATGATTTGTGGCATTATGGCTACTGCATGAGGGTTCAGAGGGTTTATCTCTATTATTGTTCCTGGAAGCCTTAATGATTAATATGCTGATTCTGAATATAAGCTTGCGCAAAAAACGTTGTGAATGTTTCAGCCTCAAGGAACTGTGGGAAGGCATCGTCTCCTCTGCTTTCGACGAGGATGGACTAGCGTAGCTTACGTTAAAGAAGGGGAGAAGATAAGCATTAAAGCACCCCTCCTGCTCGTTTCGCCCAGCGTTTTCCAAAGCAGCAACGATTAATCGACCGCGTTCGTTCTCACCTTCCTCTGTCTGTGGTGATGATGCTGTTTTTCCTGCGACGGTGAGCTGGAGCGCCCCCTGGAGTGGCTGAAGGTGCTGCTCGTATTTTCACTTGAGCGCAACTTCTTCTGCTGCAAAAAAACCCCAGAAATAAACAAAAAGATTCTGGTTCAAAGACATGGTTTGATTTGTTTTTTTTTTTAGCTGGTTAGCTTAATATAAAGACGGCAAACAAGCTAAAAAACCTTTAATTCGCCCCGGTTTGGTTAATTTGTGAGCGTGAAAACAACTAGCCGTCGTTTTATAGGAGGTTTAAGCGTCGGACGAGTTAATTAAACACAACAATTGCACAAAAACAATCAGTTTGGTTCAAAGCTCGACTAGTTATTTTAACCAATAATCCTCACAGGACACTACAGAGCTTCACAAATCTATCATAGCGCCACCCAATGTCAGGTTTTTCGCCACAGCTGCTCTAAATTAACAGTAACAGTAATGGTTAATAGACCAGTACGTAGAAGCTCTGTAACCCAAATGATATTTTTTATGCTAAAATATAATTATTATTGTTGTCAGTTTACCCAAATAGTAAAGCTGAGATGTCAAATTTTATCTATTTCCTTGCATTCCTGAACAGAAAACTGTGTTTTAGTGGCTGAATGTCATGTTTGATTAATTTCTGACTCATTCCTGTTCAGGATGGTAAAATGCTGAGAGCACTTCATGATGCTGGATGCTCGATATATAAATATACAAACAGTGCTTAACGAATTAGACAGGTGGTCTAATAAATATGTGAAGCACTGCATTAGGATGGATTCATCATGTTTTTGTGTTTTTTTTACCATTTTGTTGTAGTGGTGCTTGCAGTAGCCACAATATTTCACGTTATCGGCTTCTGGGCCTTCTTCCTCACACAGCAGGCCGGCCATCTGAGCGCTGACAGGAAACAGGAGAGCAAAGATTACACACACACACACACACACACACACGTTGACACACCTGACAGCGACACCTGGACGCTGCCAAAGTCACCAGAGAGCTTGTGCGACTGACGGATTAAATGTCAGATCTCTGCACATCATAACGCGAAGCATCCAGGACCGACTTTAAAGACGCCAACATCTGTGTCGTAACGGGAGACTAAATTAAAGCCAAAAGAAGAAAAGGAGCAAGAAAGGGGAAATTTGTGCTGACAGGAGATAAAAAGCAGCCAGCTGTGGACAGTAACAGGCCTTCGTTCTCAGTCGGTATAATCAGTGATGTTGATGCTGAGTACTTCAGAAGAGAAAACACACTGGAGCTGTTCTGGAAGAGGAAGCTGCTTGTTTTTTAACCCTCTGAACCCTAAAACCTGAACGACAAGCTACCTCTAAAGAAAAACCACACCCTTCAGCAAAGCCACAAACTGCCAAAAACAGACCAAATCACCAGATTTTCTACTTTCCGACGGTCCCTGAACTACTCGCGTGGAACCAAAGCTAACCGTAAAATCACCACGTCTCATCGCTTTATTCCACGTCTCGCTTAAAAATTTGTCGAAAATAAAGCGTTGACTCTGAACAGATTCTGTGAAAAGCAGAAAATTCAGAAATTCTTGGCACAAACGAGAAGCCACGACTGACTCAGCGGTGACCAAGAGTCATGTGGTGAAAATTCAGGGACTTTTTCGGCACAAACGAAAAGAGTAACCAGTTTTTTCCAGCACTGGTAACACCCGAGGGAACTTGGAAAATGTCTTTACTCATTATTTAACGGCACAACAGACTTTTTTGAGCTCTCTCTACTTCTAGTCCTGGTTGTTCTGTTTCCATAGAGGTGCAGGACTTCATGCTGCAGCAAAAAATGAACACACGGTGAGAGAAAACGTGACAAAACAACCAGAAAGGGTTCATATTATCTGTCCCTGTAGCTGCTTAATTTGTTCATAAAGCTCAAAACACACTTACAAACTAAGCTAACGAAGGAAAAGCAATCATTCAGACTAACTGATTAATCAGTAAAACAGCTGATAAAGTATTCACAGCAAAACCAGAACTGTCAGTAAACAAGTACGATCAACTACATGAGAATGAAGTCGGTATGCTTCTTAAAACCGGCTCACATTTTGGCTTTAGTGCCTCTCAAACACATCAGGTTTTAACATGCAGAGATGAAAACATTAGGACATCTAAATATATCTTCTAAAAACTGCCACCGTGCTGTTGATGACACGTCATCCACGCAAACAAAAACACGGGGGATTTGCAGCTCTATCAGGTGGAAAAATGAAGCGTTCTGACTGAGTTACAAAACACACGATTCATGAGGAATAATTGAAGCTTATTTTAGGCTTCTTTGGTCCCAAATGAGCAGACTAGACTGTAAAACAGCAACAGAAGAGCAGATCCCGCTGAGAAACGATGAAACCCTGCGATTGGCTGCAGGGAAAGAAAATTAATTGCGGTGAGCGGCAGGTGGATCCACGACAAACAGTTTAGCGCTCACCAGGTGACGTGGAAGGCCTGCCTGCAGCCCTGCCGGTTGCAGGTCATGCAGGCTCCGCAGGCCGCCTTGCTCTCCCTGCCGTGGTCCTCGCAGATGTAACACGTCTGGAAAGAGAGAGAGAGAGACGCAGGAACACATCAGTCATTATTATTATCATTAGCAACAGGTGCTGCATCGCTTTAACATCTGCTGCCATCGCGGCGAAAGAGCGGAGCTGCAGCTGCTTTTTTCTTTTTTTTGCTCGTCGGGACAACAGATGAGCTTTTTTTTTTTTTTTTCAAACGGCTCCTCGAAGACGCTTTGTGCGGGGAAACTGTTGCCCAGATGTGCGAGGATGTTGTGACAGCGGCGCTACACGAGAGCTCGCTCGCATCGCTGACATGCATCTGTACGCAGGAGGGAAATAGCTTTTGTGTTCCGTCCCCAGCTTTTCCCCCAGCGAGCAGGCGAGCTGGTGGGGGGCAGGAGAGGCCTAGCAACAGGTGCGGGACAAAGGAACAGCAGGCTCTTTACCTTTTCACTTCAGCCCTCTCTGCTTGGCCTTTTCTCTCCCTTTTCCTCCACTCCCCAACATCCCACTCGGCCCTGTGTGTCCCTGAGAGGAGGCAATGAAAGGCCGGAGACACGACTACACCGAGCACGAGAGAAAAGGAAGAGTGGCTTCTCGAGTTTTCACTGTCCATTGTGACGCTGTCTAGGAATGCAGGCGGCACAGACTCTGGATGAATGGCTCCGACGGGGGAAAAGCTGCATGCAATTTACTGTAGCTGACACAGTAATATGAAACCGGGCACTCAAACACTCGCACATGTACATTTGTATGCAGGCACGAACACATGAGCCCGTGCATCAGATATTGATTTCTCTCTAATGTGCGTTTCTTTAACATTCTGCACGCTTTTCCTCGGCCGGCTATCGAGAAGAAGGAAGTCACACGGCAGCCGATAAGCTCCAAACTAATGTATGATTTGTTTTGGAAGGAGAGAAAAAAAAAAAAGCTTCATTAGCGGAACATTTCAAAGCATTTCCGAACGTCTAAGCGTGACTGCGTACACACCGAGGTCTGGTCCTCATTGTGCGACCCTGCGTGAGGTCCCGTTATCTTTGTGTTTCATCAGTCGGCATGAAGCCGGCTCACATGTCAACATGTCATTAGCCGAGATTCATTCGTCATACGTGGAGATCAAACAGGCCTCGAGCTGTTTCCCTGCTGAAAACTTTTCCTGCACCGAGGAATTTAAAGAGATTTTACACACAGCGCCAAAATGATGGGAATTGAAGATAAAAATTGGAATTTTTTTGAACCGGTTTTGTGGAACCCAGAGCAGTTTATGGGTGTTTCTCACTGCAAAATAAAGTCCTGCACCTCTGTGGAAACAGAACAACCAGGACTAGAAGTAAAAAATGTCTCATGTGAAGTACGACACAGTTACAACGCCATAAATCTGAAAAAAAAAAAGAAAAATCCAGGTTGAATTTTTTTCATTATTTATTTTTAAAAAAGTGGAAAAAAATTTAAATCAATGTGCAAAACATTTTGCCCACAGGTGTTAACAAGACTAGAAAAACTATATTTGTCTGGTTTAATTGAGGATTATTCTCTGCTCTGTGCGAACACAGCCTGCAGTTCAACCAAGAAGTTCTTGAATTGTTGTCACATAATGAGCCGTTCAGAATTTCAGTTTCACAAAGGAGCTCAGAATTAATTTATTTTTTCATAATCTAGTAAAAGCAAAAGGTTTATTTCTGGCAATTTAAAAAAAAATTATTTCATTTTTTTAAATTGATGCATGTAAATTAAACAGATATTGATGAAATATCACAAGTTTAAGCTCAGATTTGGTTATTTTTCCTCACAGAGGAGCTGCTGAAGGCCCGTAAAGAAGATAAAATATGAGCATTTTTTATGTTTATTCAGTTTCTGTCTCTCGATTTTGAAAATATAAGGGTTCAGAGGGTAAAAAGAGGTTCATTTACTTTATTTTTGTTTACTAAACGGTGGGAAATAAAATGCATTTCTGTCGTCCTCCTGTAGTCCCATCGTGAGCTGGAACTATTTTCTCTTTTTTGATCATTTACGTGAACCGCTTCCTCACACATGAATAAACTGTTTTCATTCTAGATTATTATTTTCACTATCTAGAGTTCAGACTGTCGGCTTCAACGACCCGAGATTTGATTACGGCCGTGTGGCGTTTCACCGGCTAGACGGCTCCTAACTGATCGCCTCGGCACCGCCCAGAGCGCCACAAAGGGAATCCAGTGTCCACGCTGACGGTAAACGCACTCCTCCGCTGCCTCGTCTACTTCATCTGTAAAAATCTCCCACATTTCCCAGAAAGGCTTTCAGAGGCCTCCGGAGAGCCACAGCCGGCTCTGGGCTGGTGTAGGTGGAGGAGCGACGGGGATGTGAGAGAAAAAAGGGAGAAGCTGTTGTGCAGTTTCACCATGATGTGCTGAAGCTGTTGGTGGAGAAGTTTCTGTTGTTTTTGTGTCTCTTTTTCCTTCTACGTGGGCGTTGATGCTGAAAAGTCCCTGCACTGATTTTCATTAAAGAGCCAAAAGTTTCAGTTTCACTTTAAGCAGTGGATTCACAAAAAAGAACACTTTCTGTCGACTTGTTAATCACAAGATGCAAATCTGAGAAGAGCATCCACTGGATTACACAGCGGGCCGTGAGTTAAACCTCACTTTCAGCCTCTATCACAGGACATTTTGACAAACTAAGTAAGCCGAATTATCTATTAACAGTCGACGGGTCTGATAATACGATCCTGATACAAACTTCCGCGTCTGATTCTGATTGTGAAAGAGTTTTCTCATAATTACGAGATAACGCACCGCAGACTAATGGCAAGGGAATGGGAACAGTTCAGAACTCCACTAAGAAACATCACGTTTTTAAAGTTTCTTCATTTTCAGAAGCAATCCGGTGACACATGTCACTGGATTCGGTGGCGCACAGTTAAAGGAGGTGCAGATAACCGATTCGGCATGCTGACTTTACCAGAAATATATGACACGTCTGAGGCAACTTAAGACTTTAACACACAAAAACACACACACTGCATCTATAGTGGAGCTTCTATTCATTACACGAGGTGCTTAATAAACTTAGAGGAAACATTCCTAAACAGCTGGAAGCAACAAACTTTACCGTGTCCTTAACCTGACCTGTTAGAGTCAGTCGTCGCTGATTATTAGATGATTTATTCCAGTAGAGTGAATGAGAAAGTTTTGTTGTTGGTTTTTTGACTTTTAGCAGCAAACTGTGACGTTTCTCGACCGATGTTGTTGCTTAAATGTGGAAAAAGTCCTTCACGATTCTTGCTTCACACGACTCAAAGGCCTTATGTCTGATTATCTGTTAATGTGCTGTAGTGTCACACGCAGTAACGTTTCCATGTACAGTTGTCACTCGATAATCTGACCCTTAACAATCCTAAACCTGCTATCTGACAGGTTTTTAGGAAAAACGAACAGAACCCATAAAAAACAGCCTTAACATAGCGACAGCCTTGGATTCTGACTCCAACATGACATTTAATGTCACCAATCAGGATGACGGCGTATTATCTGACTGAACAATCCCACAGATTGGCTACGTTCACACTGCAGG